CGCATTTACAGGCCGCTGGAGCGTTATTGTCGCCAAAGACAACATGTTGTGCCTGCCACCTCAGGTTTATTTTCATTTTCCCTGCTTGCCTCCAAGCCATGTTTGATTTGGCGGTTTGCTGCAGATGCCACATGAGGTAGGAACCTATGAGCGGCAGCCCTTCAACCTCTGAGTCGTATTTCTTTCAATGAGGATACTATAGTTCCCACTAGAAAAGTCAAAACGCATCCTCTTTGTTGGTTGTAGGATTTTATGTGAAGAAAGTCATGTTAACTCGTTGAACACAAAATACCACGATTGATGTGGGAGTATCCTTGCATGAGGGTCCCTCCTAGACCCCATACTATGATACAATCACTGCTAGAAGGACCCCAACAAGATACCCCTGGTTGTTGCAAGCCCTGATCTGTCATTCGGGCTAGCACCCTGATTCGGAGTACGGGGGTGCGCACCCCAACTACTACTTAGTGGGCTGTAGGGTATGTTTCTTATGGGACCCTCCCAACAAAGGGACCCCTGAGTTTTGGCGATTGCCGTTGAAGGTTGTTCCGCTCCTGGTGCTTGAGCACCAGCAGCAGAGTACCCGTGCCTCTACGGTCACGCAGGCTGGGGCTCCTTTTGGGGATATCTCTAATGTATGTTGTAGGGTGTATTAATTAGGATTCTGTTCCTCAAGCTTTTGGGGGCCCTGACCTACATCGGGGGCGGAGTCCTTATGAACAATTTGACAAGGTTTTCTGAAACACCGGTATAGGAGGACTCTACGAAGCTATCCACGCCAGAATGAACCGAGAAGGAATGTGCCAAAACAACCCTCATGAAGCCCCTGTAGTTGGGACTCTATACATCCCACGAGAATCGCTGCATATCATGAGGCTCCCCGAAGTGCACCTATTTGACAAATCCACGCCGCCCAATCAAACATCCCTGGGTTGCGAATCAGTGCATAAATGCAGGTCAAAAGCTACAAGCAGGAGCGCGCTGCTGCCTTGGATTCAGGGTTTCAGATTTGTACTGATAGGGTTATACCCCATGTGTGTAAGGATCCTTTTAGGGAACTGTAGGGGACCACATTGATGCATATGAGGGCTAGAGTGGGGATACTTCCGAGAGTACGACCGGTTAGTTTGCACGCTCACGAAGTGTTCCCTCTTGGACAGTGAAATCGCAGAAGCAAATAGATTTAATGGGTGATTGAGATGGTTTCATCCTTCACATAGTTCTATTCCTTCCAGAATCATAGGAAAATACCCCACGCCCCTATCTGATATTTTTGAGGCCCCCATATCAGTCTACACTGCCCAACAAACATTTCCAAACCTGCAAGCAGACAAAGCCCTGAAACCCGACATCCTCAGGCTCCAAAGCCAAAATCTTCATGCCTGAACCTGAAATCCTTAAACCCGAACCCAAAGGACCTCTACAAAGACTACTGACCACTACCCATCTAAAAACAGCATATTTAGGACTCCATGTTCGCTTGGGCAAGTTATAACGACCTCACCCGACCTCACTAGAACCAGAATGGCTTTATTTCAGGCCTTGGAATACCCTAAGCCCTATAAACCCTAAGCCCTAATCCCTGAACCTTAAATCCTGAACCCGGAAAAAGGTCCGAGAAAAAAAAAGTCCTGAACCCCTAAACCTAAGCCTTACACCCTGAACCCGAAACCCTAAACCCAGGCCAGGGGAGGGAAGAAGCCCCAGAGCCCCTCAAAGGTGGCGAAGATCCTCCGGGAGCGATCGATCTTCTCCAACACCTCGCAGGCCTTGGGCCTTGCAGCGCGTAGGGTTTAGGGGTTTAGGGGTTTAAGGGTTTTGGGGTTTGGGGGTTTAGGGGTTTGGGGGTTTAGGGGGTTTAGGGGTTTAGGGGGTTAGGGGTTTAGGGGTGTTCGGGGTGTTGGGGGTTTTGGGGGTTTTGGGGGTTTAGGGGTTTAGGGGGTCTAGGGGGTTAAGGGGTTTAAGGGGTTTAAGGGGTTTAGGGGTTTAGGGGGTTTGGGGGTTTAGCGGTTTGGGGGTTTAGGGGTTTAGGGGTTTGGGGCTTGGGTAAAATGATGTCCCGAAACCTGCAAGAAGGATTGGCAGTCCTTCCCTTCTACAGATTTGGGGGGTGTCCAGGTAGGCTTTATGTCTGACATGTATCCTTGTGGCAAGCTACGCCAGAGCTATATGAAGATTGTTAAGTTATTAAAATTAATACCTTTACGCCTATATATAGTGGTAGGGTAGAGTTGGACCTGGCCGGATGGGGGGCACACTCAGAAAGTCCAGATGTTGTGCCCCCAATCCCATCTAAACCTCAAACCAAAGGGGTTTTCCTGAGGTGTGAGAAAGGGTCTTGGAAGTCTTGGGGTGAGTGGTTGGAAAGCAACATTCAGGACGCAAGACAAATGAGGCCATCATGAGTGTGCAGATGCAAGTATTCATAGTTCTGCAGTCATCGTAGTTAACGCGCTGTCCTGAAGATGAACGATGTAGCGCAGGAACGTTGACAGTGAGCACAAATGCAGGTTCCTGACTGCTGCACCCTTTTCTCAAATGTGGGCACGAGGCACCCTTCAATACATCTTGGCGTGTGTTTGTGTACGCTGGCATTCTGACAACGTTCTCCTTCAAGCTTGTGAGCAGGTTTCAGGAAATTGGGGATCGCCTGGAGAGTATATAAGGAACCATGTCCTGATGTGGGGAAACCCCCCCCTGTTTTGGTGAACTAGTTTCATAGCGGGTGTTCGTGGAGGAGTTCTTGGCCGAGATCCTCAACTTCGGGACTGTACGAGCGTCCTGGCTGAACATGTCTCAGACAGCTGGCTCGGGGCCAAAATCAGACACCCTAGACTCTAGGTTTTTGGGAATTATACTGAAAGCATAGGTTCGCAGGGTTTTAGTTATAGGCGCGCCTGAGAAAGATTCCCTGACTTCATTGAGCAGAGGGCTTTTCAGCCCCGGAGAGGATGATCTTCACGGCTTAGGACGCACCATGAGTATTCATCAAAATCAAGTGGGTCCTTGCTGCAGAAGTCCAGAAGACGCGCGCACCGCTTCCAGAAAGCCCACACGAAGAGCTTTAGATTCTGCGTTAGGCCTGGCGTTCCTCTACTTGCAGGTTCAAGCATGCACGATGCATAAAGGTGTGATGAAATGAGGGCTGGAGCCTGTTCACTCAAACTCGAACAGTTCTTATGTGTCTTGAGCCTCCCAGAGCCTTCAGCCTATGATGCCCAACGCCTGGGTCCCGCAGAACTACTATCCCGTGCAGAGGGAGAAGAAATCTACCCTGAGTTCTGGACTGACCATTGAGTATTTGACTGATTGCGGACCAAACGTCTCAAACTGGCAAATTTGCCGAGACCCAAGCCACACAAAAAGGGTTTACATAGATGCTATTCCAGGATACTTGCGGATCTGGGTAGGCCCCTACAATCATGTGCAATGGATAGTGCCTACAGTCCCCCTTGAGTAGATAGAATATGGCTTTGGGTATATTATAGTAAGATCCCCATACAACCATATTCTATCTACTTAAAGGGGACTATACCCTCAACCCTAAACCCTGGACCCCACATTCTATCTACTTAGGGGGAAGTATAAGCGCAGGCCTGGAAGCCCCAAGCTGCAGCCAGTGTAGCACCAGGTGTTCATGCCGGGGGACCGTATCATCCAGCAGGCCACATTGGGGTGCCTCAAAATAGGGGCCTCTTTTAGGGTTCACGAGTTTGGGGTTTAGGGCCTTTAGGGACAATAAGAGGATATACTGGTTTAGGGATTATGCTGATGGAGGATGTAGTGGCGCCTAGTGAGGGGAGACACTCATTGAAGAAGTGGGGCTGGCACAACTGCTGTTCCTGATCAGAGAGAACAGCAGCTGGGGTAGAATTTGAGGATACATTTTAAGGGGCCTATGGCAGCATGTACTGGGCCCCTAGGGCTCCTAGAGGGCAGCAACGCTTGCGATGGCGTTCACTAAGTATTAATTATTGTACTTGGTCCAATCGATCAAAAGAAGAACACTAAACCCTCAGTTTTAGCAGCTCCTTCTTCGACTGTCGAAAAGTGGGGAACCACGTGGGAAATCATCTTATGGAAGCTGGGGTGTATAGGTGTATATATATAGGGACTGGGAAATTGGGGTTTAGGTGAAAACAGCTACGTAACCTCTCGTACGTCTGTCATACTTCAGCTATCTTCTCGGTCTGCGTGTGTAAATAGCACTGGGCCCTTTCTGAAGAGGTCAGGCAGCTCACCCCGAATTACTCAATATTCTTTTCTGGTATGGTGCAGAGGAGTCTCCATTGTCGTGGAGAGAGTAATACCCATGTGCAGCGTTTCATGATTTCAGCGGAGAGGGATATCAGTGTTCATAGCGGTATACACGAAGTCTGCCAGGGCGCGGAAGGGAACTCCATGTTCATCCTGTCCGTGGGATCCGCTGAGGCCTGCCCGGGAGCTGGGGCTTCAATCCATGTCACTGACTATGTTACCCTAAGTGTCCAAGTACCCAATAATCATAGGGTTAGCGAGTGCCAGTAATTTGAGTATTCCGTTGCAATGAGCCTTGGAGATTACATATTCCTCCCACCACCACTGAGGACAATGTCTAATTTCTATGACCAAGGCTGTCATTGGCCGAGTCTTGAAAGGACATCACCTTCATGTCAATGTGGGGCTGCTACTTGGTGAATACATTTAAACGCATTGGGCTTTTCTACTTATATAAAGCACCATTCCCTGTGAAATGACATCCCATGTGTTTTCAGATCATCGTTAATGAGGAGGCCGTCGCACGCATGCTTTGAAGGATGCCATTCTCAGTCAAGCCTCTAACGTAAACACCCACAGCCTGTTTCTCGGAACCTACATTCTTGTCAGCTATATGAGCCATAGTCCTCATATGGGGACCCCAGTTTGAGTAAGATGTATACATTCAGCATTGACTATCGAGCTCATTTTGGAGTGGGCTATTGCTGGGCAATCCTTGCTTCACATACCAAGCTCCCACGCCTTCTAGCAACTGTGGGCCGTAGCATTTTTGCTGGTACTAGCGGGCCATCAACATAGAAAAACACAATACTGGGTTGCTGTTAAG